CCCAACCTCCCTCTCGTCCATACTGAGCAGTCTATCTCCATCTTCTTTACTTACCCCCATCAGATATTGACACACATGGGCACATGGGTGACACCCTCCCTGAGCCTTCTCTCATCCAGGCTAAACTGTTCCAGCTGTCTCAGTGTCTCCTTGTATGTCAGATGCTCCAATCCTTTCACTGTCTCTGTGGCCCTTAGCTGGACTCGCTTCGGTATATCCATGTCCTTCTTGTACTGGGGAGCCCAGCACTGGACACAGTACTCCAGATGTGTCTCAGCAGTGCTGAGGATAAAGATTACCTCCCTCCACCTGCTGGCAATGCTCTGCCTAACGCAGCTGAGGGTACCACTGCCCTTTGCTCTGAGGCTGCACTGCTGGCCCATGGTCGACCTGGTGTCCACCAGGATCTCCAAGTCCCTCTCTACAGAGCTGCGCTCCAGCAGGTCAGCTCCAGCAGGTCAGCTCCCAGGGGTTCCTGGTGCGTGGGGTTATTCTTCCCCAGCTGGAGGACTTTGCATTTCCCTTTGTCAATTTTATGAGGTTCCTCTCTGCCCATCCCTCCAGCCTGTCAAAGTCCCTCTGAATGGCAGCACAGCCCTCTGGTGTATCAGCCACTCCTCCCAGTTTTGCATCATCAGCAAACATGCTGAGGGTGCCCTCTGTCCCACCGCCACGTCATTCACGAAGATGTTAAACAGTACTGGCGCCGGTATTGACACTTGGGGTACACTACTGGTGACTGGCTTCCAGCTAGAGTCTGCGCAGCTCATTACAACCTTCTGAGCCCAGCAGCTCGACCGTTTTTTAATCCACCTCACTGTCCATTTATCTAGCCTGTACTTCATGAATTCCTCTGAGGATGTTACGAGAGACCAACGTTGTCGGTCGATGTTGTCGTCGACGATGAAAATCGAGATAAATAGCATGCACTGCTCTCCCCTCATCCACCCAGCCAGCCACACTGCAGAAGACTATCCGATTGGTTAAGCATGATTTCTCCTTCCTAAATCCAGGCTCACCACTCCCAATCTCCTTCTTGCCATTCATATATTTGGAAATGGTTTCCAGGACAATTTGCTCCACCACTTTCCCAGGGATCAAGGTGAGGCTGACTTGCCGTAATTCCCCAAATCCTCCATCCTGCCCTTCCGGATAAGAGTAGCATTTGCCTTCTGCCAGTCCTCAGGAGCCTGATTGACATGATCAGCATGACAATCAAGAGTGGCCTCGCCGTGACATTGGCCAGCTCCTTCAGCACCCCTGGGTGCATCCCATCAGGGCCCATGGACTTGTGCATGTCCAGTTTGTTTAAATGTTCCTTAACCTGATCCTCCTCCGCCAAGTGTGAGTTTTCCTTACCCTGGATTTCCCCCTGGTGTCAAGGACCTTGGATTGCTGAAGGCTGGTCTGACCAGTAAAGATGGAGGCAAAGGCGGCACTCAGTACTTCAAGCCTTCTCCATGTCCTTTGTCACAACAACGGCCCCATTTCCATTTAATAGTGGCGCCAGTCCCTAGTCTTCTTTTGGCTGCTAATGTATTTGCAGAAACCTTCCTTGTTGCCCTTCATGTCCATCACCATATTCAACTGCAGGTGGTCTTTGTCTTTCCTAAGCCCATGCCTGCCTGCTCAGACAGTGTCTTTATATCCCTTCTGAGTTGCCTGTTCCTTCTTCCACCTCCTGTACCTATCCTTTTTATGCTTGAGTTCAGCCAGGACCGCCTTGTTCACCTGTGCAGGTCTTCTGCCACCTTTGCTTGATTTCCTGCTCGTCAGGATGAAGCATTCTTGAGCTTGGAGGAAGTGATACTTGAATACCAGCCAGCTCTCCTGGACTCGTCTTCTCTCTAGGTGGTCTCCCATGGGATTCTCCCAAGCAGATCCCTGACGAGGACAAAGTCTACCCTCCTGAAATCCAGGGCTGTCATGCTGCTTTTTGTCTTAATCCCTCCTCTTGAGATCCTGAACTTCACCACCTCGTGGTCACTGCAGCCAAGACTGCCCCTGACCTTCACATCCCCCACCAGTTCTTCCTCATTTATAATAATCATCAGGTCTAGCAGACTATCTGCCCTTGTCAGCTCCTCAGTCAACTGAATTAGGAAGTTGTCACCAATGCACTCCAGAAACCATCTGCATTGCTTGCGCCCTGCTGTGTTGTCCCTCCAGCAGATACTTCGGTGGTTCAGGTCCCCCATGAGGACCTGTGCCTGTCAGGACACTGTGAAGCTTCTTGCAGTTGTCTAAAGAAGGACTCTTCTATTTCTTCCTCCTGATCAGGCACTCTGTAGCAGACATGCACAACAGCATCACCCACGTTAGTCTGCCCCTAACTCTGACCCATCAGCTCTCTCCTGGCTCATCATCTGTCCCCAGGCAGAGCTCTGTGAAGTTCTGCTCTCTCCACGGCAGCGCTGCAGTCACATGAGCTATCCCACCATCCTGAGATCAGAATCCTACAACCACACAGAGATCTCCAATTCCGCCTGTTTGCCTCCCCTTGCTGGGAACATGACTGGGGCTTCCCAGTTCAAGAAACTAGAGAGGGGCCAGCAAAGAGCGGCCAAGACAGGTGGGACCCTGGACTCAGGCCTGTCAGGAGAGCTGCAGTGGGGGGCCGCCCTCGCAAAGGGGAGGTGAAGGGGATCGAGCAAGGGTGGTTGCAAGCAGCGCAGAGCCAAACGCTTCCACCAACGCTTCCACAGTTGATGGTACCAACTGATGTAACAAGGGGCAGCAGCCACAAATGGCAGTGCTGGGAGGGTCCTGTTTGGGGAATCTCAAGCCTCAGAGGAAGCCATGGCTGCCCTCACCTTGTGCTGGGGACAGCCCTGCAGGAGGGTCTGGATGTCTGAGGTTTTCTTTATAGCCACTGTGGATGATCATAGACACAGATCTGATTGTAGCCAGGCATCTGTCTTGTTATTGTCCTGCATACCTGTGTTTTTGTAACTCCAGCTCTGAAAGAGAAGGCATGCAGAGACCCAACCAGCTGAGGTCACACAGGAGACTACAACAGAGCTAGAAATTTAACTCCAATCCCCACCATTTCCTGCTCAGCTCCTTCATGTAAGATCTAGCCCACGCTTGAGAAATCAGGCACCACTGGCTCTGCAGAGATCTTATCTCCATGTGCTAACATCTGCTTTGCTGGCAGTGACATGCAGAACAGTGAACGGGAAAATAAAACAGAGCTGTTGTCTCAGTTCTGACACAAAAAGAGGTCTCATATGGGTGCATCGTCCTGAAGCGCATAGACATCCTGCAAACGTGACGTAGGCTGATAAGTACAGATCCGGTGTCAGCGCTGCTGTGCTAAGAAACATACAGAGCGAGAGCAAAGGGCAAGCACGCCCACTTCAGATTCCTTCCAAGAGGTTGAAAAGGATCAGCAAAGCTTCAGCTTAGTCCTTTTCTTCCTTCTAACAACAGCCTGCCTTTTGTTTCCTTAGACTGGAGAGGAGGAAGGTGTAACAGGGTAAACACAACTGTGATGCAAGTCACAGATCCCTGCTCACCCTTCTTGGTCTTTGGCATGCGGGTCGAGCTGGAGGTGGGAAAGGAAACTGTGCTAGAGCAAACGCGTTCTCACAACAACAAAAAGTAATGGCATCCTTTGCAAGTATGCATGCCGATCTGATCTGGGAAGGTCTGGCAGCACTGGTGACCACACATAGTGCCCAGGAAGGAGAGAAGGGTGAAATCCTAGTGAGGCTTCTCAGCCCTGCTACTGCTTTTCAGCAAGGGACAAGATTTTCAGTGTGTGGGGGGGGGCTTCTTACAGTCACTGAGATGGGTGACTCCTGCCCATTTCCTCAGCCACTTGTACCCTTATGAAGCAGAACACAGAAGGAATAGCTCGATACTCTGGGGACAGCGGAGGCAGAAAGTGGAAGAGCCCCTTGACTTTCTTACACCCCTCCCAGATCATTTTTCTGCCCGTCAACATCCAGCAAAAAGAATCTCGGGGGGGAAAAAAAAAAGCCCATTATTCCTGTGCAAAGCCTTTGAGGGTCCAAAAACTAATGAAAGATGCCATAGGGACCAACAGCACTCCCCGACCACATCCCTACTGCACCCACCCATCTGCTAGCAACTTCTAAGTGAAGATGCTCCTGTCAAGTGACGTCCTGTGCTGCCCTCGCTCCCCCACTGCTGGGCCTTTAGGGACTGGCTCTTTCCCCTCCACTGACGGAATAGAACAGGCAGAAGTCAGCTCCCTCTTCCAGAGCCCACCACGGATGTGGTCTTTGGGGCTTGCCTCCAAGCCAAGGTACGCGTTCAGGCATGGAGTGGGCTTCCCTCTCCTGCCCAAGACATCTGCTTGCACCCAAGAGGCTCCCTAGCTCTGTCCCAGCTGGGAACAGGATCCCCTCTTTGGAGAACAGCAGGGACCTTGAGCTGACTGCCCTGCTTTAGCCGCCCTCTTGCAGCCAGAAAGAGCTGCTCCGTGTAAACGTTTTTCATGAAAAAGTGCCAAGTAACACAGGCAAACTTATTGTGGTCATTCTTGCATCAGTTTCCCCAGAATGATTTCTCCACTTCCAGATGCTCTAGCCAAAACCACAAGTGGTGGCCTGCCTCCCCCAGACAGCCAACAGCCCAGGGCTTGCATCCATCATCTGATTCAAGCAGGGTTTGTATGATGCCCTGCTACCCACAGGTCAATGAACTAACCTTAAAGCTTTTCAGTGTTGTCTAGGGGGTCAACCTCTTCTCTTGGACCATTCATCTAATGGCATTAAACAGTCCACCAAGCAGAGAAAGGAACTGACTCTAGTCCAGCTGTTACTCACCAGTGATAGACTGGATTTACAGAGGGACACAGATGCAAACGCTTTCCCTAACATCCGGGGGGCAGCCACAACGGGGGGAAAAAGCTGGAGAAAGTTAAGACAAGGAGGCAACGGCCTGGCCCAGCCCCGCTGTCAGCCAGAAACCTGGCCAGCCAGAAGGAACAGAGGAACACGTCTCCTTCTTCAGAGTAAAGCTGCCAAACATTGTAAATGAAAATACTTTATTTGACATTGACAGTAAAGTAGGAATATCAGATTATACATCTGTTGATATACAAATGATAAAAATGCAAAGCAAAACCATCTATAGGAAACCCATAAGCAGTCCAGTAAATAAGTAACATCCAGGGTAAAAGCTGCCTGTCAGGACCCTCCCCTATCCCAACCAGCAATCCCAAAGAAACCCACCATTAGCATTTCCTTTGCAGCTATTTGTTCTGGATTTGAACCCTTATACACAGTATCACTGAGTGTTGCTGGGAGTACTTGAACGGGAAAAATACCACCCAGTATAGGTCATGGTCAAAATTTACTTCTGTGTAACATCAACTCTTGTAGCAAAGGCTCCTGAAAATCCCAGAGAGAGAAATTTCATGGCCTGGTTGAATCAAGAATGTTTCACAAGTTTGACCTACACAGTTTACACAGGCACAATGAGATCAGGAAACCATGGGTCAGCACCAAAGGGTGAAACAAATAAGGACAGACAGTTTCAGCTTTTAAATGGCTGGTGGCTTTAGCATTAGAAGAAAAACTAAGCGACAGTTGCTTGCACTACTAATGTTTCCGTGCTGAAAACAGTTTTCAGGTTTCCTGTTTTTCCAGTTTCCATTTCTCCCCTCTTTCAAGGCACATTTACAGAAACCTTTCATTGCAACAGCCAGAAACAGTGTTCACGCCACCTGGATGATACTCAATTATTTCAGCATACAGCAGAACAAAAACTCACTACACTAAATTTTTCTGATCTTCAGAAAATCATAAGGCAAGGAAAAACAAACGAACAAACAAACATCAAATACGACAGATAACCCCTTTGCATAGTCTGTAGAACAGACAGACATGACCGTGGCTGAAGGTCCCAACTCAACTTACGAAAGGCTCAGAGCGATATCGGGGGGGGATCTCTGCAGGATTTTCAGCGGAGCCTTGATGAGTTTCGGTACTGATCTGCCACGTGTGGGAGCTGGGGCCCTGCTTCTAAGGTACCTTTGAAAAAATCCTCACCTGTGTCTCCGTTATTGGCACAGACTATGGCTAGGTCAAGGGTTTGCAGGTAGAAATTTAACTTAATTTGTGTAACACATCCTACTCTTGTACCCCCTTATACCTGCCAGAGCTGGAGCGTGGCTTGTCGAAACGGCATAATTTTTTTTGATGTGACAAGAAGCAGAAAAGAGCTGCTCATAAATACAAGCCTGCTTTCTTGAGCCTCAATGTTGCCTGCTGCCAAGCTCAGCAGATGCGCAAGTCGACCTCCAAGAGCTCCCAGCAGGGCGGAAGCAGTAATTCTGACTAGCAATAGTCTTTTAAGTGAGGTGAGTAAACTTGTTCTAGAAACGAGATATAACAGGCAACTGGATATCTAATAATTAGAGCCTCCGTTCGCACTTGGAGCTGTTATTAGCCTAAAAAGAAACTTGGAGGCAGTATCCAGCATGCCTGACAGTTTGGAAAGCAAGACCCTCATCCCCTGCCCCGGGTCCCCCCCTCTGCAACGCAAGAGTTCAGCAAAACCTTCAGGTCATGACAAAGAACAGGTAGCGCTGAAGACGATCCCCAATATATCAAGTGTCCCTGATTTCAATAGCCTTCAGCGCAGGCCAAGGAAGTGCAAATTGCTGTGGTCAGAGCTGGTGGCAAAACACTCACCAAAACCCGGAAGGGATTAAGTTCTCAGTCTGGGCTGAGAGTTTTAAATCATTTAAAGGAGCTCTGAGGGCATCAGCATGTGAGGCTTTCACACAGTTACAAGAAGGAAAAGCATGGTGTCCATACAGCTACTGCTGGTGCCTTGGTGCACTGACAATAAGTACTCTAAAACGTGCATGTCCCTCACCGCTTGAGAAAATTAAAAGGGAATTTCCCGCTACAGGACAGACATCACAACAGGCTTCCAACAAAGAAAATCAATTGGATGTCCGCCGTCCTGCGAATATCTCGGCACTGCAGGAGATATCATGGACAAATACGCAGAGCAAATACTATACATGGCTTTTACATAATGATGCACATAAAAAGCCTACTAGTCTGAAGATATAGGAGGCTTTGAAACATCCTATTACACTGCACCCTAGTTTACTCAGATATTAAATATACTGCTTATGATATACAATTTACTTTAAAAAGTTACTAAAATGTTACAACAACAAAAGTAATAGTGAATTCAAGTTTTATGCCCAACCTGGCAAGCACAATTCTGTTTTTGGAAGATGCAGATAATGTTTAAATAGTGTGATAAGTTTTTACCACTGTTAACAAGTGTCAGCAAATTTCATCACACAATTAAACCCATTTGTCTTTATCACAGCGGAAAAAGATATCCCCAAGTAAGTATCTTGTTGTGTTATGGCAAAAAGTCACCATCACATCCAGAAGTAAGGTAATCTGAAGCCAGCAGGTTTGCAGATCACAGAATAGATACCATCTGTGTTGCTCCCACCCAATACACCCGAGCTCACTGGCAAGTTCCGGCTCAACTCCCTCAAAGCCTCCTTTGAGACTAGAAGAAATATGACATTCATTGAATCTAGATTATATTATTCAAAACTTGCTCTGCACACAGACAGAGAAGGTGTTTGTTTTGGTCACTATTAGAGAAAAATATATGATATTGTCTCCATTAAAAAAATCTAATGCAAAGTGTAAACTTGTACAATTTTAGCAGCATTTTACAGTCCTTCATAAAGTAAAACCAGGCACGAATTAAAAGCAATTTTTTATCTACCTAATTTAAAACATCAGAATAACATGGGCAGTAATTGTTGACGCATCACAGTTGTAATCAATAAAATTTGGTCCAGCAAACATCTTAACAAGGGGAGCCCTGTAGCAAATATCTCAGATTCAACGTTATCTGGCAAAGTAAATATTTACAACCCTTATGTACAGCTTCTGGACTTACAAAACAATGGAGAGCTAGAAAGTTGTGTAAAGTCAAGTTTGGAATAAAAAAAAATGTATTTGTCCAACCAATTTGGAGAGGCTTTGGCATGCCAAAAGAGGCCTTTTTTTCTTCATTGCAACTGCAAAAGAACCAGTAGATACAAAACATCAGTGAGGCCAGATGCCCTGGGCAACACACACAAGGTCTCTCGTGTCTCTGATGTTAGCTAGTTGGCGAGCCAACATCCACTGTGATCTTCGTGTACAAAGGATATTTGTCATTTTTTACCACTTTGTATGATAGTGTATTTAAGCCATCAGAGCTCATTGTTTCCCTCGTGTGAGCAATTCGGTCAAACCTGGGGAAGAAGAAAAAGAAAGAGAATTGTGTTTGAACCACCCTAACTTCACACTTTTTTTAGCCTCACAGATTGCAGCTTTACTGTTTTAAGATGAACTTGAACACCAGTGTGGATCCCATAAACTCCCAGACTTGGCCAGACTGAGCAGCGGCACGTGCATGTCTGGGGAGGCCCCAAGGGAATGGCTTTCCTTTAGAAAAAACAGCCAAGCCTGTAGGCACGCAGATCCTTTTTCAGGTCTGCACTAAAAGCAAGGATTTTCAACACCAGAGACAAGCTGGGAACAATTGCTCACAGTTTAATGTGATGCGTATCAGCTAGGATGCTTTGGAAAGCGAAGGTAACTGGCGTTTGTGCAGCAGTGAAATCTGGGAGTGACAAGAAAGATCGGTAATAAGGTAATAAATTGGCTAGGGGGAGGAGGCGGTTTACAGCCTGCGGAACGGAGAGCTCAGCAAGAGGAGATTAGAGTAGACCTACAATCACCAGGCTTTTACACGGGCAAGAGAAAGCTAAGCATTTCAGAGCAGCAGGGACACGTCACTTGAATTTGTCCGTGAAGATACGGAGAGACTCATGCACGCACCTTTCTGGATTGGGTTCATTTTTACGGTCCCTGGAATGACGAATCATTCTGCATTTCCCAATGACGGCATCTGGCCGAGATATTCCCATACCTTTAAATACCAGCCTGTGAAAAAATGAATACATTAAGCGTCTGTGACAAGCTACGTAAGTGGCTCATTTCATCACAAATTCCACAAACTTCTGGAAGGCTTGTAGAAGGGATGGGCAGAAAAATAGCTACCCACCCAAACAGTAAAACCAAGCTGGAAAACGGGATTTACAGAGAGGAGGCAGGGGCAGTCAGATCAGCCAAAAGAGTTTCTCCTGCAGCTCGCTCTACCAATCGCTCCGTTTTCTAAACTGCTTCCCGGCTGGGCACAAAAACCACCCTACAAGATCAGTACTAAAGCACCATCACCACCCTCGAGCCTCACGTGCAATACTGCTGAGCAACCCCTCTTCCAGACCGCACAGGGACCGGAGACGTTCCTCGGGCTGAGAAACACAGCCCCTTCCAGTCCTGCCCAACCAAGTCCTCCAGGGCATGGAGCAAGTGACTCTGGGCCCAAGGACAGCTCATCTTCATCTGCCTGTGCGCCGCATGCAGCAAGACTGTCACAGACACCAAGGCTGAAGTAGTACCCAATCTCTTTCTCTCTTGAGCTGCCTTTTCATTTTTATAGAGCACCTTCTACTCTTCAAAATCAGAGTGCCAAAAAGAGAGGACCACAGCTTTTCTTTCAATGCCTCGGCCCGCTCAAAGCTGTCTCTTACTTGGTTCATTAAACAAAAGTGCTGAAAATCTGCAGCTATCTCAGGAAGGTACAAACAGTTTCATGAGGACCTTTCCTGAGCTCAGGAGAGTTTATAAAGCCCAGGCAAAAGACTACGCAAGCGTCCGTTTTGCAGTCAAGAAGCTGAAATAAAGCTTCTCAAATCCAAGTTCCCACGACGGTTTCTCAAAGTTACTGTCCTACCTTTTTAAGGCCCGTAATACAACCCTACAGCGGTGCTCTCCCTTGATCTTTAGGCATTAACGGGTCCTACGCTGTGCAAATACATCACTCCTATTTTGCAGTTCTGAGCATTGTATGTTCACCTTTGTTAGGAAACAAAGGCTCATGGTGTTATTTAGGACTGGTTCAAACTTGACAAATAACACTTTCCCTGCTACAAAGGCATCCACTGCCAGACTTCAGAGCAAGGCACGTCTCCGACTGTATTAAGTTATGTGGGTAACGTCTCCCACTTCCCTCTCCTGTGGAGGTCTTGGAACGACATGCCTGCTCCAACCCGGACCAAAAATCCCTTTCCTTTGGCCAACGCTAGAAAATTCAGAGGCGCTAAACTCCAACCAACGTGCTGGCACAAATGTTTTAGCTCATTAGGCAAATCAGCATTAGTAAATGGTGTGCGGGGGTGAGAGTATTGTTTTTTGGCTGGATTTGTTCCTGGGTACGTTTTGGAAGCTGCAGACCCAGGCACCAGCGCCAGCAGGAAAGAGAAGAGCTGCAAATTCACCCTCTTTGCAATGGAAAGGCTCTGCTCCAGCAAGAAGATTGGGTTGGGCATGCTCTGCCTCAGTTTCCTACCCACACTGGACACTGACGACATAACGCCAGTCCCATTTTCCCTGCATATGGTAAAGAAGGACACTGCCGCCAGCGGCAGTGCTGACCTGGAGCCCCACAGGGTGCTCCCAGGCTGTGCACGGGGCGCAAAGGCAGCTGCGCGGCCTCAGCTGAAATCCAGCTCAGTGGCTGGCCCAGAGAGAGCAGAGGAGCAGCAGGGTGAGGAGTGACAGAAACTTTCCCCCAGAAACTGGGGCTAAGTCCAGCCGAGCATGGGTGTAAGGGTATTTACCTGTTATAAATGTCATCATCTTCGCCACCCCAACCCCAGTAGTTATTTGGAAAGCCATTGATCTTTGTGAATTGCTCTTTGCTCAGAGCAGACACACCTCCAAAATACTGATTGTAAGGCAACCTGGAAGTAGGAAGAAAATGCTGTTATTTGAAGAGGTTTGCCGGTGAAGAGGCAGACATTCCCACCATCGAGTGGATATTTCACAGAAGGGGCAAACATAACTGCCCACCACCCCAACCCAAGGCTAGCCCAGGCCAGCTGCAAGGTACGGTCCCACTGCCAGCCCTGTACACTATTGCACCTAAATTACGGGGGAAGCTGGGGCAAGTCCTGAGCTAACCCCCTTTCTGCACGGAGCTGTGAGCGCTGTAGTGTGACTCAGGAGAAACATGTGGCCACGCACCTCAGGGAAGGCAGAGCACCTCTTGCATGACATGGTCCATGCTGCCCAAGCCGAGGGAGCTGGTAGGCTTGGTCACAAACGTGGCTGGAATATATTTTGCCACTGGCAAAGGCCGGAAATCTTTACTAAGAAATACATTGTTCTCAAAGGACGGACCAGCAAGATCCATGACACCTAGTCAAAGAGCAGGTGGGTAACTTGCGATGTCCCCACGACCCCCAACAGCAACTCAGCGAGGCATCAGCCCCAAGAGATGCAGAAGAGTGCTCGCTTCCTACAGCTCTGCCTTTCACCTGCACTTTCTCTAGTACCCCAGAGGAAACTTGCAACCTCAAAATGAGCTGACTGGGTAACATTGCATGCACAAAGCCAATAAGCTCCCACTTCCAACCAGGGGTGATTCACCAGGGTATTAGGGATGGAAAAAATGGGAGACCCACAGCACCAAGAGAAGGCCCATGTGGGAATCGCCAGGACCTACCCCAGATCGTGGTTCTGCTTCAGCAAGCATAAGGACCTCTGGGGCCTAGATTTTTACTCTGACCTTCATCACATTCAGCTCGCTGTTAGAAAAAACTGCAACTGCCCCAAACGAGTGCTGATGGTAGTCCCACCGTGAGCAGGTTTTGTGTCTGGAGGAGGGACATAGAGAGGGCCATGCCACCAACACCTCCACAGTACCTCTTGCACTATGTGGCGTCACAACAGGTTCTCACTTTATAGATGCACTTTTAAATTTCCCTTGGGAAACTTGGGTTGGGGTGGGGGGAAGAAAACCAAGCCATGCTTTCGTTCGCAGCAGCCTGCTCAACCAAAACGCTGAAAGGCATTTAATTTTGCGTTGCCCTCAGATACCAGGGCAGATCCCTCAGTGGCCAAAATCAAATAGACAAAAATATTTGGTTTTGTTCTTAAAATAACATCTGAGGCAGTCTTTTTAAAGTTGCAAATCATTCTTACTGTGTGAGAATGTCTCATTATTCAGACCGAATAGAAACCCTAGCTGTCTTCCAACTTCCAGCTTGAGATTCAACAAGGGATACACAGCTATCTGTAAAACGACAGCATGTAATTTTCTCTAGCCCTACATTTCACTTTTCAGGAGCTGTGAATTTTAATAAATTGCTTAATTTTGTTTTCCTCACTTCCTCCTCTCCAACTGATCTTCCTCACAGCTATCCATTCCCTGCAGGGACGTGCATGCCAAGACAGACTTCTGCCAGAGACATTTTCCCAGGCTTTCAATGGTGGGTGGGGATGCTGTAATCCTGTGCCTGCTGCGGAAGGCTGTGTTAGCAACAAAATGGCCCTTCAGAAGGCATCTCACCGAAATCCGAATTTATCCATGGACACAGAGAGGTGCCTTGGCTGGCTGTAACATTTGTAGGTGTTCCTGTCATCCATTGGGATTAGGTCTACGTCACTAAACACAAAGCAATCATAGTCATACTCTTTCAAAGCCTCTGCGAATCCTATATTCAGCAGTTTAGCACGGTTAAATTCTTCTTCTCCATCCTAATTCAAAACAAAGAAAAACTGTTAAGTGCCTTACATTAAACAGCTGGTATCAGCAATTTCTTACCTGTTGCCAGATGCTGGCTTTGCCACTCCAGGTGCGCATTGCCTCTGATGGACCCAGTTTGAGCCCGCGTGCCCTCCCAACGTCCATGGGACCAGCCACTGTGGGAGTCCCGCACTCCAGTACCGAGGGCGCCTACCGGGGGCAGCCAAACCAGCCAAGGAATGACCAGGGGCTGGAGGCACTTGTCTCCCGCGTGGGGCCACAGCACCAGGAGCAGGCATTGTCCCTCTCTGGCCAGGAGGCCGGCCCCATACGTGGGTCGGCCCCAGCCACACAGAGCCAAGGCGGTGCAAAGCCTCCCACGCCTGAGATGGGGCATTTTGTGCAGAGCGGCTTCCCCCCCACCGGCATTTCAAGACTGAATTTTAAGGGGGAGTTTTGTCTGTGACCTGGGGGTTAGACTGAAGCAGTCTCAGGTGAGGACCACCGGTGGGGAAGGGGGACGGTAGGGTGCAATGGACCATTCGGGGCAGGCGGCTGGTGCTTCCCAGAACAGTGAAGAAAAACAACAAACCCAAACAAAATGAAACAATCCAAACAACCCAGGTGGAAGAAGAGACCCTTCGTATGACCAACATGGAGGCAAACCTTGGCAATGCTTCTGGTTACACCCAGGACAATAAACAGGGAAAAAAATGTGGGTTTTTTGGCCAGGTCTTTGACAGTTTCTTCCTAAACTCCATCATACACAGCTCTGAGACTGTGTGGTTCCAATAACTTGCTGGAGCGCCCACAAGATCTGGCTTGTGAAGCACGTGACAGTACCACCGTCCAAGGTCTCACTCTCTGCTGCTCGCTCCTACTCCCACTCTGGCTTGCACCAGCCTCTGTGAGGTTGTGCATGAACTGGATCAGGAAGCTGAGAGCCCAAAGCAAGGGCTGCTTGTTTGGCACACAGCTGTGACATATGGATTCATTCCCTTGCTCCAAGGCTGGCATGAGACGCTCTCTGGGAGAAGGACTACAGTTCCTCTGCCAGACATCACGGATTCAACAACTTCATGAGAAAAAGGCCTCACGAGAAAAACAAACTGAGAGGGCTGCCACCATGATGGGAAGGACCTGAAAAAGGCCGATACCACAGCAAAGCACAATTATCTCAGGCAAAGGTACAGTTACAAAGTGATCTGCAGAGATCAGTGAGCTGCGATGGAAATTCTCCCCTCTCTTCCCCAAGCAATGAGGAGTCTGAGGAGAAATCGGTTTGGTCTCTCCCAGGGAGAAACGTTTCAAAAGCACACACGGCTCTGAGAACAAGTACGGGCTCTCAAATCACTCAGGTACTCTTGAAAAACAGAGTACCTGTTTGATTCAAATTAAACCTATAAATCCTAGAATACTGGTGGTTTGAGTCTAAGCATTTCTAATCCAGAAGCTGATCTTGCAATAGCAGCTTCAAATCCAACCCCTGCAAGGGTAAAATAGTGCAGGCACAAGAGGATTCATTGGGTATCACTGAAGGAAACTGAAGTTTTTGCGTGCCGGGAAGCAACATTTGGAGATTTAGGAAAACAACAACCAAGACCTCCCTGTTCTATTGCAACCGATCTCTTTCTCTCTACACCTGAAGAGCAATTTTGAGCCAAAGGATTCCCCTGCTGCCCTTGGCTCCAGGGTCCAGGATCGCGTGCAAGCGTGTTGGCTTGCAAGCGTGCTACACGCTCCAGAGCTGGCACAGAGCAGCTGGCGTGGGATGCAGATCAAGAACAGATAAAATACTGTGCCCAAGGAGCAGCAGTTTAAAACATCCCGTTTACCTCCTGCCTTGAATGGTTTTGCCTGGTTAATAAATAATATGTTTAGAAGCTGACTGATCCAAACTGGTTAATGGACCTGTGGCTCGAGATCCAACACAGGTTCTTGAAGCAGCCACAAATATTCTTCAAATGAAGGATTTAACATGCAAGTGTCAAATCAAGGTTTTCAAAAGCATCCAGCACCTGCCTCGGGCTTAAATGACTTCACAGGGAGGAGTGAGTTTTTGTGGAGGTGGATCTGAGCAAATTCTTAACACCCTCACCTGAAACGAAAGTGTTCATGCATTAACTAAGGTGGTGGGAAGACGATCCTCATCATGCATAAGCAAGAGCAGTGAAGACCTGAGCACAGAAAATGAAGCAAAGTTGAACAAAGGTGTTGGGCAAGGGAGCAAGATGGGGAAACGGCACAGCTGCTGAGGCCATGGGAGCAGAGGATATCTCTGTGAAGGGGCCGCCGAGTCCCAGCTGCAGAGCACTTGTGTCCTGCAGTCCCAGGCGATGGGCCCCAGGAAAGCCAGGACCCTCAGGAAAACCTCACTCCAAAGGAAATGGTTTTGGACCACGCCAGAGGAGGTTGGTCCTCAAAAGCAATGCTCAGGGGGCTTTCCAGGGACCTTCTCAGCACCAGCTGTTACACTTGCTTTCAGGCTATCATCAAGTGGCAAACGAAGGAGCAACCGCTCTCTCAGCAGCAACGCTCCTGAAACCAGAGCTTGCCTCCTTGCCCCAGAGGAAGCGTACCCCGGTCCTAGCACAGGGATCGCTTTGTGGAGGGCAATACACTCATACCTCAAAGCACCTGCTGGTTCCACTATGGGAGGAGAATATCTTCATTTTATACCCTTTGGCTGCTATTGTTATAACAAAAAAGGCAAAAAGAGCTCTTCACACTGATTTTGTTATCAGCAAAGACTCAGTCCTATCTACCCCATACCCTTGGGGTACTTAAGTCCTTAAGACCTTAAGTCATCTAGGTAATCACATTTTTTAAGCGATGCTGAGGGATTAATGCTGCTACAAGGAGCTGGACTTTTAACCTCTCCCAAACAATGATTTAAGAAGCAAAATGCAATGACTGGACTATGAACACAAGGTAAGCATTCTGCTACCATATGGGAATCCTCCTACCTTTTCGCACCATTTCACCCATCTGGTCTCCAGCAAAGTCCTCACCGCTGGCCTAGTGCATGCGGACACGGCAGGCGGAGACCAGTTACGTGGCAAACACGGAATGGGGGCACTACTTCTCTCCTCCCATACAGCTTAAAACTGTGGGACCCAAAAGACAAGCAACTTGAAAGATAATACATCAGAGCCATTTGTGGTAACCTTACGGCAAGCAGGCAACCCATGCAGCAAACCTCACAGCTTCGTATCAATTGCCTTCAGGGCAAGAGGTGAAAAATGGGAAAATGGGAGTAGCATTGACACCTGCACCAAGCCTTCCTAGGAGCTGGGTTTCTGTCCCAGGCTGTCCCAGGGCTTCACGGCTTGGATCAGAGGGAAGAATAACAAGGCGTTTTGCTTTTCTGTAGGAGTGTCAAGTCTCTTAACCTTAAGGCAACTCAGAAGCAGTGGCATATTTGGAGTATTTGGGATTGAAATCTCTCTAAACTTGAAATGCTGCTGCAGGCTTCCGTCTTTGACCGCTCCCCAACTTGCTGAAACAAAAAAAACCCAACAACAATTAAAAAAACTGCAGCGTTGGGAAATCTCCTTTCCCAGCTACTGTCCCCTGCAGGCCAGCGTAGGGCACAGTGACACAGGTGATGCTCGAGAAATAGATAAAGGAGAATTAAACCGGCCTGCAGCCCTCCCCTCTGCTTGGCAGCACCTTGTTCCCTGGACGGTCCCGTGCTCGTCACCAGCCTGGCGATCGTTTTGGCCGTGCTTTGACGGAGGAGCATCGTCCCGAAGACCCACGCAGCACATGGGGCTGCTGCTCCGACCCCGCAGCCAAGCCCTCGTCGCAGCCTCCACGCTCACTTTCTAAGCTTCCAACAAGTAAACGTGTAGTCTGAGCACGTTTTGGCTAAGGCTAATATTTGTTTTTCCTGTCAATTATCTTTTTTTTTTTTTTTTTTTGGCCTGATCTCTCCTCCTAGTACTTAACTCTCGTGTCAAAGCTCAGAGCA